CGGTGCCCTCAGCCAGGACCCAGGAGGGCATGGGGTGCACAGAGAGGAGGCTTGGGGAGAAGTTGGGGCCAGTGTGGACACGGTGGGTATACACGAGGCATGGATGTGCCGGAAGTGAGGTCAGCCAGGCCTGGCGTTTAGGAGCAGGGCAGGGCTGGGGAGGCATCAGCAGAGAAGGAAAACGGAGATACTGAGGTAGGCCGATGTCCCAGAGGGAGGTGAGCTGAGAAGCAGGAAGAGGGTCAGTTGGCAGCCCTCGGGCCCCAACATTTAGGCCTGTGGATGAAAAGAACGTTCCCCAGGAACTGCGGGTTATCCAGAGGGCTGGGGCGAGTGAAGTGCACGCCGGGGTTTCCACAGAGTTGAAGCCAGAATATACCCAGAATAAAGTCCTTTGAAATCTCACATTTTATACGCTATAAATTCTTGCCAGTTTTGCGTTCAGCCCTGCCAGTCTAGCCGTGTGAGTTCTCATCTAAAAGATTCTCCAGCACTCACCAGCGAGACCTTTTGACCTACCCTTGCACGCCCGCCTCCCTCCCTCATTTTCACTCAACAGTGAAAATCTTCAAGTGAAAATGGAGCTCTGGGTTTATCCTATGGCTTTGGGGTCTCCTGACCCTCTCCTGGTGCATCTGGGCATCTGTTACCCCAGCATTCAGGATGCTTCATCAGCTTACCCAGTGTCCAGACTCCCAAGCCCCAGCGCAGGCAGCTGTGACCCCTACCCCGCCCTTGTTCTTTGTCATGTGCCCTCAGGCACCACCTCAGATGGATCTTCCCAAAGTCCAAGCCTGACCTGGGCCCGCCCGTGGTGCCACGCTGCCCTTTAGCCTGGCAGCTGGCCAACACCTGCTTCTCCCACTCCACTGCAGTGGGATTTCTGCCGCTTCTTCAAGTAGACAGTCCTCGCTCTCTTTCTTGTCTTCTGTGCATGTTTCTTCTCCTTGGAAGACCCCTCTTCTCTCGCTTCTCTCTGTATATCCTCCGTGTAGCCTTCATGGGCTCTCCTCCGGCAGGATTGCTGCATAATTTGCAGGGCCAAGTGCCAAATGGGTATGTGGAGCCCCTTGTTCTAAAGTCATTTAGAACTGCAAGATGGTGGGCCTCCCCGCTAGCGCAGTGGGTTGAGCGCAGCACTGTGAAGCTGTCCACATGCAGCCTCTGCAGCACAGGTTCGATTTCTGGCCAGCCTGGGAGCTACCCACATGGTGCGGCAGACCTCTCCTGTCTTGCCTGCTGCTCCCCTCAGCCGTGTTTTCGGTCCATCTGCCTCTTCTGCTCCCCACTCTGTCTCTGGTGAATCCTCTCACCCTCCCGCGCCTCTGGCCTGCACCCCAGTTCTTGTATAAATAAATAAATCTTTAAAAAAAAAAAGAATTGCAAGATGGTGACTGCAGGACACCCAGCTTCACGCACAGGGTCCTTCTAAACGGAGGCACTGCCCACTGGCACAGGTTACCTGCCAGGAAGCCCGCCCCTGCTTTTAAGATGTCTTGGACTCTTCCCACCTCCCATCCCAGGCTCAGTTTGAAGTCCCTTGTGCTCCCCCCCCCCCATATTCCCTGGGTAACTCTGCAAAAATAGGTCCCAATCATTTCTTGCCTGAGCTTCCCTCCAGCCAGCCCTAACCCCTCTGGGCTCCTCCATGGGACTGGAAGTCTGGGGGCAGGGCCTGGGGCCATGTGGTCACCGTTACATTCCCAGCAGCCAGGTCAGGGCAACCCTGCAGTGATGCCCATCCTGGCTTGGGGAGGTGTGGTGGGGCACAGGCACCGGGGAGGAGACAAAGGCAGGAGCCATGCGCAGGTTCAACCCAAAGAGGAACCTCCCTTTGGGGAGGACCCCTTGATAGGATTCTCCTGCATAGGCGCCACGTAAAGAGCCGCGATTGCCTGGAATTAGCTGAAGCCTTGCAAAGAATGGGCCGCGTCAGATCTGGGTTGGATCTGGCCACAGCAGAGAGGGAGAGTCCCAGGACTGGAACGCACTTCTAGAAAAGTGCTGGCCCAGGAAAGCTGGTCTCGGAATGTGCAGGGCATTCTCAGAGGCAGGCTGAGGACAGGCAGTGGAGGAGTCGCAACCCCAGAGTCAGGAAATTGGTAGACTCAGCTGGGTAATACTAGACAAGCTACAATTTACCTTTCTAGATACATGTGGTCACTTGTCCGGTCCTACTGTTTCTGCATGGGGTGACGGGTGGTCCGGGCATCCTGTGGGGAGGCAGGGGCGCCATTCTGGAGAGACCAGCCTGCCCCCATGCATCTCATCCCACTCTCCCAGCTTCCAAATGTGGATACAGCCCCCCCCCCCCAGGTATGAACCCCCACTTCTGGGCCTCCAACCACAGCCTCTGCCTTGCACAGCCTTGGCCCGCTGTCTGCCTGTCCTTGAATCTGGAAAAGGTCCTTTATTTCTGTGCTACAGAGAGGTCAACTCCCCCATCTAAAGGGTGGATTCTGGCTATAGCAGGGATCAGGGCCCACAGCTCTTCTCCCCAAGACAGTGCACTCTTGCCTGGGCACTAGGTAGCTGAGCAGTGGCCCACTCTGTCCTCTTCTGTCAGGGTGGGAGCCTCTGGTGAGGAGTCTCAGATCGCTTCAGTCCAGGCACTCTAGGCCACACCCTAGTCTGGACCACTGCAGTAGCCTCCTTTTGTCCCTGCATTTGAACAGACGAGACACTGGAGCTTCCTTGAGACCAGGGAGCACTACGCCCCTGCACGGCTCACAAGTCCCCTCAGCCTCTCATGCCCCTTAGAATAAAATCCAGACTCCCCCCTATAGCCTGTGCAGTCCCGTGTCATCTGGCCCCTTCCCACTTTCCATCCCTCCCCCTTCTTTTTCCCCCTTCACCCCCTGGCTTTCCTCAGCCCCTGACCTTCTGCACATGCTGTTCCATTTGTACAAAATGCCCTTCCACCCCCCCGCATGATTAACTCCAACCTGACCGTCCTTCAGGTCTCAGCCCAGGTGTCACCTCCTCCAGGAAGCCTCCCTCAATCTCTTCCTGGGTTAGGTGCCCTGGTTACACGGCTCACAGTTGCCTTTCTCCCACAGCACCTCTGGTCACCCCCAATGCTTTATCCTCGCTTGTGGGGTCATATAACGTTTCCCCACCAAGTGGGGTGATGGGTGAGGGCGGAGTCTATGTCTGTATTTGTTCATTACTGGATTCCCAGCCCTTCCCACACAGTAGGCACGCAATAAATTTAAAAAAAAAAAAACAATTTTTTTGAGGAATGGTGTGCTCTGGCTCCCCCTCATGGCAGCAGTTGGTATTGGCACGAGGTAGCCAACCCTCCCCCTCAGAGGCCCCCTTTTCCAGGACCCGTGCTGACCTCAGCACTCCAGTGTGACAATCAAGGACCTCGGTGCCGCTGGAGGACTGCGGAGTCCTGGGGAGCCAGGCTGTGCTCATGACTGGGAGGGTCATTTCCAAAGCCCACACCCCCGGAAAGCCTGGGAGGCAACGTACAAGGCCCAGGTCCCACGCTCTGGGTGGTGGGAAGGGCCAGTCCAGTCACCCTGGCCCTCACCCCAGCACCGCCCCAGGGAAGACAGAGAGGCCAGGTTCCCCGGCCCTCTGCCTCGGGGCCTCCATCAGAGATGGCCTGCAGCCAGGGAGCGCCTTCCTCCCACTGCCAGACCCATTCCTAGATGTCCATGAGGCCCGGCATTCCCAAGGCCCCTCTCTGATGTCCCAAACCTCCTGGCCAGGAGTCTGAGGGGGACCTGGGGCAGAGAGAGGGCCGGCCAGGGTAGGCGCGGGGCTGAAAAGCCCAGATCAGCCGGAACCAGGCTCAGGGGCGGCGGCATCTGCCCTTCCCACCTCCCCTTCCTTAGCTCTCCTCTCCCAGGAGCTGCGTCTGCCCTGACGCTGTCCTGAGGTCACCGCAGTCCTGACACATAAGCACAACTGTCACTCGAGTCCTCACCTGCCCCATTTGCTTCACTCTACCCGCTCCTAGCCGCTCCCGTCTAGTGCTTTAACTACGGAAAGCCCCACAGGCCACGGCATCACCAAGGGGCCTGCTTCCAGCTCTGCTGACAGGGCGCGCATTCCTCTCCAGCTCCAGACTGACCAGAGGTCCTGAAGCCACACCTCGGATGACCTCTAGGTCCCCCCCATCCACCGACTCCCACATTAGCCCTGTCATCTTCCCCAAACCTGCCTCTCCTCCCTTGTTCCGTATCAGCGTAGTCCTACTGCCCTCTCCGCACTGGCCAGAGCCCTGGCCTGGCCTGACCGCCATGACACTTCCCTCCATCCTGTCCCTTCAGCTCCATGACCCACCTACTCAGCTTTCTGCATGTCTCTCACCCACCCCCTGCAGTTCTCCCACAGCCCTGTCCCCCCCCCCCCGGGCCCCTGCTCTGGCTGCCCCCCGGGTCTCAGCTCCAGTCCCCCTGCTCTAATACGCCCTCCTCAAGGTGGCTTGGACCTTCCCAAAGCCCAACCCTACCCCGTCCCCCTCCAGCATGGTCTCCTCCATGGCTCCCCAATACTGTCAGCTGGCAGGTCCCAGACCCTACTCACCCCTCCTGCCTCACCTCTCCTGCAGCACCCCCAGTGCCCACCCCCAGTCCTTGCCTACACGGCCTGTGCTGGAACAGCGCTGCCCCTGCTCTGTGCCCTGTTACCGCCTTCAGATGTCATTCTCAGCTCATGTCTTCTCCAGGAAGCCCTCCCTGACTGCAGCCTGGGCTGCGTCAGGCACCTTTTTTGGGTTCCCACAGTCATCACCGCCTCTCCGGTTCCCCCGAGCTGCAATGTGTCTGGCCTTTAGACGGCCCTGAGGACAGGGCTGGGGCCATCTGGGTCACGCAGCAGCGCCTCGCATGGGGCATGCCCAGCATGGTGGCTCAAGGAGTGCCTCGACTGGATGACGGTCCTCAGCCTCAGCCAGGACCCCAGACAGAACTGGGGGGGTTCTCCAACTCCAGACCCCTGCACGATCCCCCCAACTCCCACAGACAGAGACAAGGGCAAGGGCCCAGGCCCAAGCTTAGAAAAATAGGACTTTTTTGTTGTGCCCCGGTGCCCCGACACCCTCCCCATCAGAGTTTTAAAAACCGTGAGCAATTTGGTGAGTCTGAGGCTAGGTCCCACGGGTGCCTGGGTCCTGCCACTCCAGGGGCCAGGAGGGCCTTCGAGGTCAGCGTGCTGCTAGGGTCCCGTGGGTTCGTGGCTGGGCCCCCAGGGCTCACAGTCCAGCTGCACCACGGTGTGGGCCCTGGGCCCGGCAGGCTCCGGGGCAGGCGGGGCCAGCGTGGGGCCCAGGGCACCGTTGGTCTGGGAGCAGACGCTGCTGACGGGCGCAGCTGCCTTGGCCTTGCCGGGGGGCTGGCTGCCGTGCACCTTGTAACGCATGAGCAGCACGAAGATGAAGACCAGTACCGAGGCCACGATGACACCGCCCAGCGCGATGATCATGGTGCCGCCCAGGAAGGGGGCGTGCGGAGCACCGCAGGGCCGCAGCGCGGGCTCGGTGGAGAAGCGGGCGCAGCCCACTGGCCGCGTGGCCGTCAGCCCGGTGGCGCTGTCCTCATACACCGCCAGCACACACAGGTCGTAGGTGCGGCCCGACACCAGGTCTGTCAGCAGGAACGAGCGGCTGTCGGCTGGGATCATCCTGGAGGGAAAGGCAGGTAGGGGGTCAGGTCTCTGGCTGCCCAGCACCCACTCTCCAACCCAAAGATCTGCAGGACTCAGTGTCCCCCAAACAGCTGTCTCATATCGCACCTGCCTTCTGCTCAGCAGCCCAGTTTCACTGTAGTCTCACTGCCTGGTTTTCTGTGACCCCACTTTGTTCCCCAGTTCTGTTTCATCGTCCTCGCAGCTGCTGAGTTCCCCTTGGGCACTGCCAGCCAGTTTCCTGCCAGCCAGCAGTTCCCTGGAGCTCTGCTGCCCAAGCTTGCTGCACTCCACTGCCTGCTTTCACTCGCTGCTGCTCCTCCCCCTCCGCCTCTGGCTCACTCCGAGTCCCTCCAGTCCATCACCCAAGTTCCCGCTAGCTCTGCTGCCAGACAGCACTCCAGCTCGCCCGCTCCTCTTTCTCACCTGTCCCATCTCCCTTGAACCCGTGGCCACTGCCTTTCAGCCCCCTATCCGATTTCCCTCCGATCCCACCTCCCAGTCTCCCCAGACCCTCACCCCACGCCACTCTACGGGCCACCTGTCTCTCCTCCAGCCTGTGCCTGGTCTCCCTGTTCTGGCTGTCTGATTTCCCTCCAGCGTGCAGCTAGAATCCTTCTACCCTGACGGGCCAATTCCCCAGTACTGCTCGTGCCAGATTGTCTTCCTACCTGCCAATAGATGTCCCGCTAGCCCCATCGCCTTATTATTATTGTTGCATCTCTGGACCGCTTTCCAGTGCCATCTGATTCCGTTTCCATTAAACTGATCTGCCTCGGCCACCACTGCCGATGTCTTTTTTCTCCCTGTTGCCTTATTTCTTTGCGGGTCTGATTTCCTGTGATCTCTGTTGCCTGTTTCCTATTCGGCCTCACCTTTCCCATTGCCTTTTATCCGGAGCATCTGATTCCACTACATTTTCTTTTGTTGCCAAGTACCCTGTGTGGGATTTCACTTATTTTATAATCTCTATTTCAGTCCTAAACTGCTTTCATGGGGGAGGTGCAGGGAACTCGGGGGAATCTCTGGGAGGGCGACTCCAGCAGAGCCTTTGCCCCACCCCCTGCCAGGCAAGGTAGACTTGCAGGCGTGGCCCTCCAGGCGCCGGTTGGGTACTGCCATCTAAGGGAGTACCACGGGATTGTGGGATTTCTAGGAAATCAGGGGATGATGATGGCTTAAGGTACGAGCCCCAAAGAGGGAAAGGACACCTGCAAGGTGTCTGGGGAGGCCCAGACCTCTGCAGCCAGCCAGGCAGCGAGAACAGGGAGTCACCCACAGCTGCCCGTGCCAGGCTGGACTTGGGTAAGAGGCCAGCAGCTGGCCCAGAGCCATCCCTGCTGACCACATGTGGCCACCGCAGGTGCATAAATGCTCTGTGGCTCAGGGGCACAAGTGGTGCTGACCCATCTCTTGGGGTGTATAAGCCCCAAGTTTAGTGTCTGCAACAACAGAAGAGAGAAGGGAATTCCCAAGAGCGACAAACTGAACATTCCTGTTTAATGAGCAGGTAGTGGCTGAACTTGTTTTAATATGATTTAGGGAATCAAAAATTGAGATGTCACCATCTTAGAGCTCTAAATAACATGCACCTGTGAAGACCCCCAATACTGCACAAACCCAAAGCCTAGTCTCCATTAAGCCTCCTCCCCTGAGTTCCTTCCCAGCGGGGCTACCTCAGCTCTCTTTTCTGTCACCCCTGTACCTTCCTGCTAGATCTTTCCGTCCCGTCCCGCAGCCTGGCTTGTCACTAGCCCTGTCATCCGGAAAAACCTGCTTCCTCTTTGCCTTTCCAGCTCAAATTCATTTCTACCCCCCCCACCCGCCCCCCCATGACCCTGTCCCACCCTCAATTAACTTTTCACTCTTCTGGCCTGATTACTTTTCCTCTTGCCGCCCAATTCCTTTTTAGGTTAGCTACTATTTACATCCCCTGCTTAGTTGCTTTCTTTCCATCGCTACGAGATCTCTTTTACCTTCTTTGCCTAGTTTCTTTTACCTCTGCTGCCCGACTCCCTTTGTAACCGGCATTTCTCAGTTGCCTAGGCCTCCGGCAGGCGACCTCCAGGCCACCCCACCTCACCCCCCACCCGGCCTGCCCTCTGCCTGGCCCCTGCACCTGTAGACGAGGATGTCGTCGGCCGAGCTGTTGTACTGGATCTGGTACATGCGGATGCCCGGGATGGGCCGCTGATCCGGCCACTGGACGAGAGCGGCCGTGGCCCCGTGCTCAGTCACCTGGACGCCACGGTCGGTAGGGGGCCCGGGGTCAGCAGCCTTGGCAGAGGCGGAGGCGGAGGCGGAGGCAGAGGCAGCAGAGGGCGGGGTGAGGGCATCCGGATCCCCGTCCCGCGGGGGGTCACAGCTGGTGCTGTTGGCTAGCTGGGGGGGCGGCGGGGGGCCCACGGTCAGCTCAACCGCAGCGGTGGCCTCGCCAGCTGCATTGGCCGCAATGCAAGTGAAGACGCCGCCGTCGCCCGGCTCGGTGACCAGCAGCTCCAGCGTCCCGTTGGGGAAGGCTCGAGCGCGGCTCGAGTTGCCCAGCAGCCGGCCCTGGGGCGACACCCAACGCACTCGGGGCTCAGGGTCCCCCACTGCCCGGCAGCGCAGGGCGGCTGGCCGGCCCGCGGGCACGGCCAGGGGCGGGGAGCGGTGAGTCACCACGGGGGGCTCACACACAAATTCCTCCTCTCCCACAGCCCAGAAGTAGCGGCCGCCCAGGGCGGGCGGGGAGGCACAGGCCTCGAGGTCGTCCTCGCGTGCCAGCCGCCGCAGCCACACCAGCTCACAGTTGCAGTGCAGGGGGTTCCCCCCGAAGGCCAGCACCAGGGCGGAGGCGGGCGAGCCGCGGGGCCTGGCGAGCAGCGGGAGGCGGGAGAAGAGCGGGTCGGGCGGGATGGTGGTCAGGCGGTTGGAGGTCATGTCCAGCCGCGCCAGCTTGTGCAGGCGGGAGAAGGCGCCGGCGGGCACGGAGGCCAGCAGGTTGTGGTCGAGGCCCAGCGTGTTGACGTTGCCCAGGCGCCCCAGCGCCTCCCAGGGCAGCTGCTCCAGGTTGTTGTAGGAGAGGTCCAGGTCCTCCAGCGTCTCGGCGCAGTCGTCCAGGGCGCCCGCCGCCAGGGCTGCCAGCTGGTTGTTGCTCAGGATGAGGTGGCGCAGGTTGACCAGGCCGCGCAGCTGGCCCTCGCCCAGCGAGGTCAGCCGGTTGCCGTCGAGGTGCAGGGCGCGCAGGGCGCGGAGGTCCGCGAAGGCGCCGGCCGCCACGTGGCGGATGGTGTTGCGGGACAAGCTCAGGTGCAGCAGGCCCGTCATGTTGGCCAGGTCCCGGCGGCGCACCGCAGCGATGAAGTTGTCCGCCAGGCGCAGCTCGGCCGCCCGCCGGTCCAGCGAGGGCGGCACGAACAGGAGGCCCGCCCCGGGGCACAGCACGCTGAGGGGCAGTGACTGTGTCTGGCAGCGGCAGCGGCGGGGACACGGGCTGGGTGTGGCCGGCTGGGGCGGAGACGAGGCGGGGGCCAGCGGCAGCAGGCAAAGGAGCAGTGGGAGGACGGCCATCGCGGGCAGGGGCGGCCTGCAAGGAAGATGGGGGCGTCAGGAGGCCGAAGGCAGGGAAGGGTAGCAGAAGGGGGTGTGGTGGCCCCACAGTGGGAGAGGAGGTCACGGAGGCCTGCGAGCAGGAGAGACGGTCAGAGGTGGTCAGATGGGGCAGAAGCCAGAGGTGATGGTCAGTGTGCGGGGGGGGAGCCCGAGGCTACAGAGGGTGGCCAGAGGGAAAGGAGGTGGTTCGGGATGGTCAGAGACAGAGGAGGGAGGGTCGGTCAGGGCACGTGGAGGCTAAGCGAGGAGGTTTAAACGCCGTCCCGGAGAAGTGGTCCAAGGGCTGCGGAGAGAAGAGACAGCCAGGGTGCTGGAAGGACAGAAGCCAGATGCGGTGGAGAAGAGAGGCGGTGAGAACTGGCCAAGCAGATGAGAGGTGGACAGACAGACGGACAAAGATGGTGCAGAAATGGGCAAAAGCCAGACAGGTCGTGAGAGAGAGAAGAGGACAGGCAGGTCAGAGAGTTGGAGACCAGGACGGCTGGCTAGGGTGCGGGGCACGGGGAGAGGTCATCCGGGAGAGGAAAGGCAGCCGGGGATGTTACAAAGGCTCAGAGGGTAGCCATGATGGGACGAGACAGAGGAGAGAGGTGGTCAGCAAAGCGAGGGGGGCTGTAGAGTGGCCGTTAGGGTCCGGGTGGAGGAGGGCAGGGGAGCTGCTGAAAGATGGTCGGAGAGAGGAGAGGTGGACAGAGGAGGCCAGAGAGGAGATGGACAGAAGCCGCAGAGGGAAGAGAGGTAGCCAGAGATGTCAGTGATGGTCAGAGACAGTCACAGGCCACGACCGAGAGACGGGAGTGGACATGGGCTACAGTGCTGGCCAAAGATGAGAGAGGAGTGGTGGCCAGTGGCGTTGAAGGTGGCCATTGAACGAAGCAGAAGACAGGTGGCTGGATGGAGACGCTGAGGGGGGCGGTTGGAGACAGAAGCTGTAGACAGAGGCGGTCAATGAGAGTAGTGTGGTAGCCAGAGAGGAGCAGTGGACAGAAGTGTTAGAAACAACCAGAGAAAGGAGAGGTGAGTAGAGCTGGTCGGTGGGGGAAGTAGAGAAAGGAGACTGGAGAGAGAGAGGGTTGGAGGTGATCAGGGAAGACAGATGGCAAGAAGTTCAGGGAGATGCCATCAGCTGGGACAGACGAGGTCAGGGACAGGCAGGGCTGGATGAGTGTCTAGAAAGTGAGGCAGAATAGAGGCTGGGGCCCCAGCCTGGGGACACAGGGTGTCTGGTTCCTGGGAGAACCCCAAGGGTGCCCGGGGAACCTGGTCCTCACCTGCCTCCACCCTCAACCACCAAGTTCCTCCCAAGTCCCTCCCACCTCCATGATCTTTCAGGAGACTTACCTGAGCTGGAAGAGCCCCAGGAGCAGAGTCCTCAGGCTCCAAGGGGACCAGGGGTCAGGGCTCCGGAGGGACTCCTGGTCATGCCTTCCCTGACCCCGAGACCGCTGCAGAGGGACTGCCTGTGTGTCTCAGCTGAGGCCTTGGGCCACAGTCTCTCTGGACCTTGACACCTGCTGTCCCAGATTCCCAAATTTTGGGCCCCTAGGGTCTAAGACCCAGCGCCCAGTTGGGGTTGCTCAGCGCCAGTTCTCCCACCTCCAGTCTTGGGATGCTAAACACTCAAACGGTGAGTGTGGGGTGAAGTCCCACGCCCAATCCTAGCATCCGACACTGGGGTGTTGGGTTCAGATATTGGGGTGCTAAATAAAGATCTGGAGGTTTCTGGTCCCAAATTTCAGCACTCAGGTTTGCAGCACTTCATTCAGGCCCAAGCTTAGGTTTAGGCCCCTCGGAATGCCAGGGTTCAGATATTAGAATCTGAGGCTGAAATCTCAGGGTTCAGTCCCAGAGAGTGGATTTCGGGATATAGATGTGGGAATCCTGGCCCAGATTTTAAGGTCCCAGAAACAGAATTCAGAGTTCAGCTCCAGCTGTGGGGTTTTAGATGCCAAATCTTTAGGTTCAGGTTCCAAATCTTGGGGTCCATATTCCCAGTCTTGGGGTTCAGGCTTCCAAATCTTGGGGTCTGGGGACAGATGTTGCGATTCCAATCTCAGGTGTTCACGTTCAGCCTCCAGGTCTTGGGATCCCAGCTCCAGATCAGGGTCCCAGGTTCGGGGTTCTGAATCTCTGGCTCCAAATTCGGGGTGCAGGGCCCCGACGCCGGGGTGCGGGTCCTGGGTCTGGGGCGGTGGGGTCGCGTTTGCTCCCTGGGCTTCTGCGGGGACCGGCCCGGAGAGCGGGGGTCGGCTGCGGCGGGTGGGGGTCCGGCCGGGCAGCCCCGGGGGCCGGGGTGGGGCGAGGCCTGGGTGCGGACGGACAGATCGGGACAAGCGGGGTGGGGGCACCGCAGCGTAGGCGGGGGCGCAGGGGGGAGGGGCCGCGCTCAGAGACCCCTCCCCCGCCGGGGCCGGGGCGGGGGCCGGGCGGGGGCCGGGCAGGCGGGCCGGGTCCGGGCGCTCCCGCGGCCTCCTCGCCGGGAACCCAGGGCCGCGCGCGTGCCGGCGCTTAAAGGCGCAGGCTCCGCGCGCGCCCGCGTTTAAAGGTGTAGGCAGACCCCCCCCCCCCGCCCCCTCTTTTCAAAGGCGCGTCCCAGCTCCACCTGGTGTTGCTGGGGAGCAAGAATCCTTGGTGCCAGAGACACACAGAGATGGGGATAGAGACCGAAAAAAAGGGCAGACTTAGACTGAGGGACAAAGACAATGAGAGAGGCAGGTGGAGAGACAGAAGACAGATGTTCTAGGAGTGATGGAAATACAGGGACAGTGAGAGACCCAGAGAGAAGGAGAGAGACAAGGACAAGTCAGAGACAGGCAAAGACAGAGACGGAGAGAGACTGACAGAGTCAGAGACAGAAATCGAAAGGGAGCAGCTAACATGCCCCCCAACTCAGCGGTGAGGAGGGTGTGTGTGTGTGTGTGTGTGTGTGTGTGTGTGTTGTGTGTCCAGTTCTCATTTACAGCCTTGAATGTGGCCATTCATCCCAGAGCACCCCCCCACCCCAAACCTGTCTCCTTCTGCCCCTCTGTCTCAGCATCACCAGGCCTCCCCACAGGTACCTCCCCAAACGGACCCAGTCTGATCTTTCAGGTCAAAGGGGAGACACTGCTTCTTCCCAAGGCACTTGCACTGGTCACCAGGGGCAAACCTGGCTCCAGACCCTCTGGAATTGGAGTTAGCTCCCAAGACACACTGACCAGTTATCCCAGGGAGGAAGGAAAAGATGGGCAGGGCGCTAGCCAGGTTGATCCAGAGAAGCGTGTCTACGGCCTCCCCCTCTCCCAACTCAACCCACAGATCCACAGAGGACCCTACTAAATCTGTACCCAACACATGACTCACCAGAAGTGGTGTCCACCTGTTCTGATGCTTGTGAGAATAGGGGAGGCCGGAAGGGGGTGTCCTACATGTCTCCTGACAGATGGTGTCCCCAAAAGAGGGATGTGGGTGATGGTTCACAAGCCTGGCTTGGGAACTTGGTTATAGCAACAAAGGGGACCTGATCTTTTGGGAGCCCTGGCCCAAAGCGGGCACCGCCTTGACCTACGGTCATGACCCTATCCTGGGGAGACCTGAGTGATCGTAAACACCCCTGGAAAACCCATCTGAATGGAGGAGCAAAGCAACCTGGGGGCACACCCACTCTGGCATCCCTAGCCATACTGGAGGTTTTAGAACAGACTTTTGGCTCCTTCCTCTTATGTGTATTGAAAAATTGCATCTAAAATTAACTCAGCTCAGGGCCTGTCTTTCCAGATCATTAGCAAAGTTCATCAGTGCTTCTGACCCCGCAGACTGAGTACTGGTCAGACACTCAGAAAAAGGATGCAGAAATTTCCAAGTGATGGAGTTGGAGGGAAATATCTGAAGATGATCCCAAGAGCAGACTGAGATTAGAATTCAGTGGATCAGGCAAATTAGGGGGTGATCCCAGGAAACAGGGAAGAGTGAACCAGAGGAGGAAGGAAGTTAATAGAAGGCACAATTGAGGAGCAGTTTACTTCTCAGGATAATTGGGGCTCAGTTCTGCTGGGGAACATGAAGGAACCTTGTAGAACACATCCAAATTGTTGTCCCCCTTCCCTTACCCCATTGGGTGATGACTGTCCCTTTCAGGGGAGAGAATGGTACCGAGCCGGCTGAGATCTGGGGCAGAAAAGAAGACAAGGACCCCTGGCATGAGCTAGACAGTAGTACTCACACTTCAGCTGCATTGGAATCATCCCCAAGACTTACAGATTTCCATGCAGCAATCTCAGAGTTTCTGATTCAGTATGTCTGAGGAGGAGCCCAAACATTTGCATTTGTAAACAGGTTCCCAAGTGGTACAAAAGCTGCTAAGGGGCCACACTTTGATAACCGCTGGGCTCAACCAGGGGCCTATGCCCAAAGCTGGTGGACTGAGGGCACTTGGACCTCTGTTGTGTGGCAAAGAGACCACCTTATTTAATTTTTTAAATAGTTTTTTTTATAGTTTTTTTTTTTTTATAGAGGCATGTTTTATTTATTTATTTATTTATTTATTTATTATATTTGTTTGTTTGTTTTGTTTATACATGCACTGGGTACAGTCAGAAGCGCGGGAGGGTGAGAGAATTCACCAGAGCCAGAGCAGGGAGCAGAACAGGCAGAAGGACCGAAGTACACTGCTGAGGGGAGCAGCGGGCGGCAGGAGAGGTCTGCGCACCATGTGGAATCCTCCTCCGGTGGCCGGGGAGCAGCCGGGGATCGAACTGGCGCCGCAGAGGCCGCGGGCAGCTTCGCAACCCAGCGCTCAACCGCTGTGCCACCGGGGAGGCCCTTATTTAATTTTTTAAAAGATTTATTCATTTATGCATACAAGAGCTGGGGTGCAGGCAAAGGTGCAGGGGGGGTGCGAGGATTCACCAGAGACAGAGTGGGGAGCAGAACAGGCAGACTGATGAAATACACTGCTGAGGGGAGCAGCGGGCAAGACAGGCGAGGTCTGCTGCGCCATGTGGGTAGCTCCATGGCCAGGGATCGAACTTGTGCTGCAGAGGCTGCAGGATAGCTTCATAGTGCTGACGCTTAACCCCTTGCACCACCAGGGAGGCCCTGAAACCACCTATTTATAGACAGAGGAGGGCTTCAGAAACAGCGTAGCAGAGGCAACAGTACGAGGTTCGCATTTGCTGTAGATTTCTGGGCTGATGACACCACAGCAAAAGCATCTACCTGGACAGCACTGGCCGCCTTCACTGAGCTCCCACGCCAGAAGGGAGAATGTCACATATCGAGACAGCCCAGAGCGGTCAGGGAAAGGACAGGAGAAGCTCAGGCTAATCAGATCGGGGCTGTCTGGGAGACGCCCAGCCACAGTGGTCAGGCTCTGATTGGGCAACAGAGGGGTGTAGCATCCCAGAGACAGATGCAACCTTCTGTCTCCTCCCTCTGGCATCCTGGGAACTAGGGAGGCCTCCCAGAAGAGGGGACCTTCATGCTGAGACACGAAGGATAAGTACTAGCATAGCAGATGGACAAGGGGCCCCCCTCGCTGTGTGTGTGCCACTCACCTGTACCCTCACGCCACAGCATGTGCCGCCTGGGGGTGGTCCCTGGGGTGCCCAAACAGTACTATGCATGTGTCTGCGTATGCTGTAATCACTCACTAGCTCTTGGAAGGGATCCTGGAGCGATGGTTGTTTGGGGGACTCCGCCTAATTGCTGCATTTACTTAATTGCAACATCTGGAGAAGGGGAGCGAAGCAGCAGAAACAGCCACAGCAGGAAGAATGAGAAGCTGCGTGAGAGCTGAGGGGGCGTGGGGGAACAGGACTGCTCATATCTGCTCACAGAATCTGCCCCAGTACACACAGATGCGCACAGAGGACACAGCCGTACTCACACATGCGAGTCACATACCCAGAGGCTCATCCGAATTTACACGGACAGCAGGCACAAGCAGCACACATCTAGCAAGACTCGTATCCAAGTGCAGGGGACGCGCAAGGACACGCATAGACACACCCCTCTGAAACACACAGATTCACACTCAGACATGTGAGCGGTCACGCGCAGAAACACACTGCACACATTCTCTGTTGCACACGTGTGAGTTACACATGCACACATATACACAAGAAACATTCAGAGTCACAGGAAACACAAGGGATGCGTACACACACAGACACACACACTTATGCACACATGCTCTCAAATCAAGGAAATCAGTCTGTTGGCCAAAAACTTAGGCCCCTTCAACTCAGGAGCTGTCAGAGCAAGGAGGGGTGGAGGTGGTCTTCTCTTATCCTCAGCTTGCACCCACTAACCTAACCTTGCCAGTTAGGGGGTCACTGCAATTGGCTCAGCTTTGTCATGAGCACATTAATTGGTACTGAGAGTGAGGGACTCATTTTAAAGGTCGGGCCTGAAGGGGTACCCCCATATAGAAGGGTCAGAAGAGAGGAGCAGTGAGTAAACCCCCCTCAAACAGACATACTAACTACCCTAATCAGATTTATGGGTCCCAGGCAAGCACTGACTTCTATAGGGAGGCCCCGAGACCCTGCACGTACAGTGATGCTTGACTATGGTGGAGACCTAAGGCCACATTCAGGGTCAAAGCGACTTCAGCTGCCAAAATGGAAGAAAACATCTGTGAGAAAATAGAAGAAAGTTTACACTTGTACAAAAAATGGGGGACGTACAATGATAAAATTTCAACTAGCAGAGACTCTGGGCCACTGTGTTGCTCTGCTATGTGAAGCTGATCACCCCAATTGAGAATTAGAGGATCATTTCGCAGTAGGATGGGCTCAAGCTTTATTGATATCAGGGGCCAGAGAGGAAGGGTCAGTGTGGCGGTGAGTGTGATGCCAGCTGCTATAACAAATCACCCCTGGTGTCCTGCTTGGCTGGCATGTCCCTCCAGCGAGTCACCCATGACACTTGTTAATCTTATTTATTTCCTGGGATTCTGAATTATTGGCTTTCACCTGGCAAAGAGAAGACAGTGTAGAGAAGTTTCACCAGCTTCTCAAAATAATCTTGGCTGAGAGGTGACTGACACACTTCCCTTCTGCCTGTATTTTATTGGGAAAACTAGTTCCACGGCCATTGTAGATGCAAGAGGTAATTGAGAACACATTCCCAGGCAGAGCAGCTCCCTCCCAGCAACAATTACTGCAAAGGGAGTACAGATTATAATGCATTTAACATTAACCACCTCCATTGCCCAACGTCAACCTCAGAGGATGCAGAAAGAAGAGGCGGTGGGCTCTCCCATCCACTGCACCAAATCCCCATTCAGGGAGAATTTCCCAGCCCCATCCTGACCACCTACTCCCCTACTCGTGCCTGTGGGGTGAACGAGCACAAAATTGACCCCTCTGAGGGCAAAGTGAATCTGACTTGATTTGATAAATCTTTAGGTCAATGTGGAAGGACAATGATAAATGTCCAGTCAAGCATTTACTGAGCCCACCCAGCGCGCCAGGCCTGATGCTGGAAATGAGCCCACAAATCACAGTCCAGGCTTTGGAACTGCGTCTCCTCAGAAGGCAGAAAGAGAAGAGATCATTGCAGAACTCGTGGTTGTTGCTGTGATAGTCCACTATCAAGATGAGGGGATAGGGAGGGGTAAGGAAATCACCAAGTCAGCCTTTTGGTGCTGGTGGGAGTTCAGTGAAGGCAGGGCAGCCTGGAGGAGGTCACCTGGACCCAAAAGGAACAGGGCTTTCTGGCATGAACAATAATAACCCCAGCGTGCAGAATCCGTGCTCATAGAAACCTCATGACTCCAGTTCCCAACACAAAGCACTACTGATGCAAGTGCTAATCAGAAATCTGATCCCTGTGAACATAAATCCATGCTGATTCATGTGCTAATTATAAATCTATGCCAATTGTAAACTGTACTGGAGCAGATCTAAATTACAATAATGTGCTGATAATCACCTGCTCAAAGACATCCATGTGCTAATGGCCATCTTGAGTTGATTCATGTGCTAATTACAATCTTGGTACAATTTAAAGCGTGATCAGAGGGTGTTTCACAGTGAAGAACAGCACAGACTCTGAAGCCTGACAGCCTGGGTTCAAATCCCATCTCTGTCATTGACCAAGTGAGTGGCGTTGGGCCTCAGCTTCATTCCTGTAATGGGGGGCAAATAGTACCACAAATGGCTGTTGGGAGAATTAAATACGATGATACACCTGGAGCGTTGGAAGCAGTGCCTTGCCAGTGCTTAGTCTCTAAGTAATAGTCGTAGTAATTAGGATAGTAATCAGCCAACAGTTACTGTGCTGATTTCATTTATCCTCATAGCGGGTCCTACCTACAATTTCTTCACCCCTTCTTGGTCCAGGTGTGAGGAGCCTTTCCAGAGGTGAAAAGGCTTCCCGAAGGTTCCCAGGGCGACCCTCAGACGTCCCCAACCCCACACCCAACTCTTCCCAATTCGGTACCATTCCCACGCCCGGGCGTAACTGCTCAGCCGCCACGCGGGGGCAGCAATACACCGCGCCACCGCTCTGCGCGGGACGCATTGTGGGGCGCGTAGTCTCGCCGGCGGCTTGGGCGGTGGCGCCAGACAGGCAGGCGAACTACATTTCCCACAAGTCCACGCAACACCCTCTGCCTCACCTTGCTCTAGTCCGGAGGCGGTGGCTTCGCCCCCGCTGAGAGCGCGCCTGCTGTGCGGCGCAGGGGATTATGGGCTGCAGGAGCTGGGCCTCGCACCGCTGGAGGGGGGGTGTGCTGCGCAGGCGCGGAAGAGCCCGCTGGCCCTCACTTAGCAGGTGGGTGGGCACTGATGTTCAGGTACCGGGGCCCGCAGCTGCCCGAGCTGAAGCTATGGCAGCGATGGCGGATACATAGCCCCTTCCTTACTCGAGGACCAGTGAGAGTGCCTCACCGTTGGGGGGCAGCTCGCCCCCCTTTGGCTCTCCTTCACCAGCCCGCCCCCACTTTTCACCTCTGGAGGTCTTTGCTCTAGGGTCTTAAGGGGGGGTGCCAGGGAGAATCCCTTTTCCTTCTATTCTTTCTTTTCCTTCACAGCCACCCTTCCCCAGCCCCCTTTAAACATTATTATGGTAATGTTCAATCATGCACAAAAATAGAATAGTATAATGGTCCTCCAGGTACCCATCACCGTTCCTCGACAATCATCAACATATGGCCAATCTCGTTTTATTTTTTCAGCTTCCCCTTCCCTCTGAAATTAATTTAAAGTTTATCCCAGACCTCATTTCATCCATAAATGCTTAAACACCTATCTCTAAAACATAGGTTCTTAAGAAAACCCATAACTAGAACACCTTTATCACAGCTAAGAGAACGAATAATTCCTCAATCTTATCTAATATCCCAGTTTCCCTTATTGTCTTGTAAATGTCTTAAATTGTTTTTCTTTATTGAAGTAACATTGGTTTACAACATGGTGTATGATTTAGGGGTATAGGGTCACCACGCCACCCTCATAATCTTCTAACTGTTGGTTTGTTCAAATCAGAATCCAAGTAACGGCCATGACATTGCATTGGTTGGTATCTTTCAGTTCTTTGTTCTCTGACAGTTTCCCACCCCTTTCATTCATCTGGCAGTTTGATTTGGCTGGTTGCTCTTATTGATGTCCTTTAGTATGTTCTGCTGTATACTGTATGTCCTGAAAATGGGTGGAACCTGAGGCTGGGCCAGATTCAGGGTCAACTTGGGAGTAAGGATCCTTTATGGGTGATGTCCAGTCTCTCCATCAGGATGTACAAAATAATGTCTCAGTGCGTGTGTGTAAGATGTTAATATCTGATGGAGGCTCACAGTAGAAGATTTAGGATAGGGCCTCCCTGGTGATGCAAGGGGTTAAGGCGCAACCTATGAAGCTATCTGCAGCCACTGCAGCACAAGTTTGATCCCTAGCCAGGGAGCTACCCACATGGCGCAGCAGACCTCTCCTGTCTCACCCACTGCCCCCCTTAGTAAATCTGCCTGTTCTGTTCTTCACTCTGTCCCTGGTGAATCCTCTCACCCCACCCCCCTACACACACACCTCTGGCCTGTATTCCAGTTTTTGTATGCATGAATAAATAAATCTTTAAAAAAATATAGAAAATTTGGGATAGAGGCATCACAAGACCAGAAACTGGAGGTGGGGGTAGAAATGATGAACATAGTTGCTAAGCCAGCTATAGAAATGAAAAATCCTTTGGTGCCAACTGCTGTAACAATTATCAGACTGCTTTAGAAAGTATCCGAGGTGCAGACCAGAGGTGGAGATGGAAGGCCATTGCAGAGAATCACCTGTCCTTACAAATCTACCCAGTCACACCACAGAAATAATTAACTTAACAATAAATAATAAATCCACAAAGGAATGAATCCCTCCTCAAACTATAGAACACTATAGCAATACAATTTCTGGCCTGGCAAGAGGTAGCTCTCCTCCCAAGACTATCCTGCTCCTCCCAAGACTATACTGCTCCACCCCCTCCCCCAGTCTAAGCAGACATCTCTTTAACAAACCTGTCCCTTTCAGAGGCAGTATTTCCTGCCCACTTGTGTCTGTGCAAGTGTCTTCCCCTCTCCATATGTGTGTGTGTGTGTGTGTGTGTGTGTATATATATATATATAAATATATTTTATATATAAAGTCTACCCTTTTGGATGTAATCAAAAGGCTTTGCCTAGTGGGTAACCATGCCATGTGCTGCTGAAAGGGGAATTCTTTCAGTGTTGAAACTTTCTCAGAAGTAACCCAAGGCTCCCACTCACCGAACCCCATATCTCATCAAAACAACTTCAGTACCTAATGTTGGGTTTGGTGTTGTCACCTGAACCATCCCCTGCAAACCACAGCAGACTTCAGGAGGGAAGTAGCCGCAGGTCTCCCCCACCACCTCCACCCCGTTTCATAACAGTGATACTTTTTATTGCGAAAGCTCTTTCTTCTTGTTAAACTCGAGGCAATTCTCTGTCCTCAACTCACTGGTCCTGCCTTAACAGGCCTGTTCTGTGCTGTCCAGTGTGGTAGCCACTGAGTCACCCCAAGTGTCCACTGCAGACTTGCTGAGACGCGCCGTAGGGATAAAACACACACACTGGGAGTTCAGAGACTTAGGTGTTGGGGGTCTGCTGACCTAAAGGGAGCTGGGCTTTTTGGACTTTTTGGAAAACACCTGTTTACTCTGCATACGGAGTTCCAGAATGTTAGAAGTTCTGAAAACAGAACTTCTTCCCAGAATTGACTCCAGTTCTCTGAGGATGTGTTGGCTTCTGAGCATGTTCCCTACTAACCAGAAAAACTTGTTTTCAGCAGTCACTTATTAATCTGCACAAAACACAGTTGCGTGCTATTTTCTTTTTCCTTTGTTCATATCTTCAAAAAAAGCTTGGGCTGGGAGAGTGAACGGCAGAGCTGCTCTCCATGTCTCTCTCCAGCCTCCCCCCATTGTAAATTCATTTAGACTCCCGAGTCTTCGTTAACAGCAGAGAACACCGGCTGTCCTGTCTGCAGCACATAGGACCAAAACACCTGAATGTCAGTTAGCTTGGTAAAAAAATATGGATGACATGCTGAGATGATAGCATTTGGGATGTATTGCTAATAAGATATATGAGTGACATATTTGATTAAAATGGCTTTGACCTGATTTTACTTTTTAACGGGTGGCTATTAGAAAATTTCAGATCACAAATATGGCTCTCATATTTCTCTTAGAAAGTGTTTTCTACACCACTGTTGTCAAAGTGTGGTCTCTAGGCCCGCAGCTGCCACAGCGGCAGCAACATCACATGACAGCTTGTTAGAAATGCAAATGCTGTCTTGCCCCAGCCCCAGTGAACCAGAATCTCTGGGGACACGACCCAGCAGCCTGCATTTTAACAAGTCCTGCAGACCACGCCCATCTGAAAACTCCCCTCCTGGCTTCCGAACACAGCCCTCTCTCCCAGCCCACCCACGTCTCACGACCTTACTGTTAACACCTCTAATCTTGTGCCCTATTTGTCAGTCCTCTTGCCACAGCTGTGTTCACAAACATAAATCGGATCACGTTATTTCCCTGCTTAGAACCTTTAAATAACTTCTTATTGCTTAGAGTAAAATCCAGACTCCTTCCTGTGGCCCCTGCAGCACCTCTATCACGTGGCCACTGCAGCCATGGTGTCCCCCCCAAGCCTCCTTTACTCTTTTTTTTAAAAGATTTATTTATTTATGGGCCTCCCTGTGGCGCAGGCGGTTGAGCGCAGTGCTGTAAAGCTGTCCGCAGCCTCCTTAGTGCAGGTTCCATCTCAGCCGGCTGGGGAGCTACCAACATGGCACAGCAGACCTCTCCTGTCTCTCCCACTGCACTCCTCAGCAGTGTGTTTCAGTCAGTCTGCCTGTTCTGCTCCCCACACATCTGGCCTGTACCCTGGATCTTGTATGCATGAATAAATAAATCATGCATACAAGAACCGGGGTACAGGCCAGAGGTGCGGGATGGCGGTGGGGTTGAGAGGATTCACTGGAGACAGAGTGGGGAGCAGAACAGGTAGATCCACTGAAATACACTGCTGAGGGGAGCAGCGGGTGAGACAGGAGAGGTCTGCTGCGCCATGTGGGTAGCTCCCTGGCCGTGGATGGAACTGGTGCTGCAGAGGCTGCAGATAGCTTCACAGTGCTGTGCTTAACCCCTTGCGCCACCAGGCAGGTCCCCCAAACCCCCTTTACTCTTTCTGCTCCAACCATGCCACCCTCCCAGGGTGCATGCTACACACACTCCCAGGTCTTCCTGTCCCAAGAACTCTGCCGTGGCTGTCCATTCCTCCCCTGGGAACATAGTTTTCCCAGATCTCCCTTCAGGTCTCAGCTTCAGATGCTCCATCTCTGCCCTGACACATTGACAAAAGCCCGACTTCCCCACATCACCTTCCCAGGGCATTGCCTACCTCTCATTCTCTCCTTGGCACCTGCCCATGCTATTCTTCCTCCTCTTCAGTTTTCTGTCTCCCCGTCTAAGATGCAAGCATGCAAGGACGGGGTCTAATCGCTCTTGCTCACGACTTTGCCTCCGCTCCTCACAGTGACTGCACATCGTAGGTGCTCAGTAAAGGTCTCTGCTGACCCAGCCAGTGAACTGCCCCAGCTGCTCCTCCTCAGTCTCTCTTGCTGCCACCACCTACTCTGAGATGGGAAGATGGTTGGTATCCTCAATGTTGGAAATACCAGAGCATCCGACAGTCCTGATTTTTAGCATCTGCCACATTGGGTGTCTGACACCATGGGAGAGTGACTACCTGGGAAGGACTTCGTGGAGGAGGTGCCCCCAGACCTGTTTTAAAAATGAGTAGAAGACAGTCAGTCAAATGGAAGCATGTGTACCAAGATATGTAGGTCAGAATTCCTAAAGCTCAAATTAGATGACGCTGTAGCCAAATCAGGGTTCGCGTAATGGTGGAGGGGGAGTAACAGAGACCCTGGAAG